ATACGAGCGCATGTGGTATTGTACTTTCCTCATCTTTTAAACTTCCCCAAAACTAGCGAGCGGTAACGGTCGCTACCCATCTATGGCTGTTCTCAACTGTAGCACTGAAGCACAATTGTAAGGCTGTGTGAAGGCCTACAGCAGACAGCTGTGCTTCAGTGCTTTGAAGCTTTGAAGCGTTGTTGTTACTGTGGCGTTGTTGTTACTGTTCGCGTCGTCGCACTACAGTAACAACAGAGGTTCAGAGCTATAGACGTGAAAGCGGCCGCAGACGGCCGGTGCTGATCGATACCAGTCTGCATGACTATTCAGAACTGCCATCCAATTTCCCCAAACGCTCGCAAAACAAGTTGCCGGCCCAACGAATGGGCTTTCGCAGACGGGAATCGATCGGTGCCGGCCGCCTGCGGCTGCTTTGCATCTACAGCTTTGGACCGCTGTTATAATTCTAGCGCGTCGACGCGCGTTACAGCGCATTAAAGCGCGTCGTCGCGCATTAGAGCACATCGACGAGCGTCATCGCGAAACTTGAACGCTACCTTACGTGCAGCGCCATCTCTCCTGTTCTCACCCAGCCCGAAACCGTCCCGAAGAAAGAGCTCAAAGTAGGAAGAAAACGATAAAAAGACAAGGTTCTTGAGCACGGCGGGAGATCACATAACTTTTACTTTAGATATTTGTTTCTCGGAGATTATGTCGATCGAGGCCCGTATTCTCTTGAAGTTATAGTGCTGTTATTCGCGTACAAGGTACTTGAATACTAGGCAGACGAATTCTCTCCTCGTTTATACCATTTTCACTTTATTCACCACTTTTCAAAACAAATTCACCACTCTTTTCAGACCGCAGTTCACCAACCAGATCACGCCAGACACCACTGCGAGCCCCGCCCCGACGGCCACGCCTACCAGCGCGGACATAGATTTTCAACACATGGCCGACTCCGCCCATTCTTCAAAGGGTTTGTTGCGAACTTCGAAATTTCATAACTTTTCAACTTTTTAATTTCACATCCACTCTTTGCACAACGAAGATACTCGTAACCGCGCATTCATGCTCCGGCAATTCAGGCTCCGCCCCTTGGCCACGCCCACTTGCTTTTTGCGGAATTTTGATATTTTTTCAAAATTTTTGCATTTTTGGACTGCTCCACGAAGCCCCGCCCACTGTGAGAGGCTCCGCCCACTTTGAAGAAGCCCCGCCCACTTTTCAAAAATGGTGCAAATCGGCAGTATAGGGCCTTGGCTTGCATGCTAGGGTCTCGTCCGTCACTCGGAACAAATTATTATAATCAGGCAAAGTTTGATA